CAGACAGACAGACAGACAGACAGACAGAAAGACAGAAAGACAGACAGACAGACAGACAGACAGACAGACAGACAGACAGAGGGTGGGACATTTTGAATGTGTTATATGCGGAGAAGGTGACTGTTTTGTTTGTTTTAGTAGAGATAAGCACATCGACACTTGGGGATTAGAAAATTAAGAGACAGACAGAAAAAACAGATGGAAGGTAAAGAAGTAGGACCTACCAGTGGGCGCCCTCAACCCACCCGCGGAGGAGAAATAAGGAATATAGATGTTTGATAGGACAGAAGGAACAAACCACACCAGAGTGCCTGCCACCTACCCACCCACAAAAGTAGTCAAAAGCAAAGACAAAAGAATCTGAAGACCAACTCGAAGGCAACTGTCTAGAGATAAGAATCTATTCTGAGCCAAAGTATGACGTTTCTGAAACATGCAACATCATATATATATACATGTACATCGCACGCAAAGAAGACGACTGCATATCTGTTGGTGTAAGGTACAGCATGATAGTGGTTTAGTGGCCACATCAAAACAGAAGCATTGAAATTTAAGTTTAAGACATAGGACCTCCACATACACAATCCATCCTCTGTGGATCCGAGCCAAGAGTGTTGAGTCTTTAAAAACTCCACCCAACAAACACAAGTTTGGGACATTTCATTAAGGACTCAAGCCTTGAACCTCTGTGACTTTATCCAGTATGGTACAAAATGATCAACACAAATAGGTTCCATAAGTTCCAAAGATTAGAGGTGTTGCAAGAGAGGACCATGCATAAAAAAGGAGACGACATAAGGAGAATCGATGTTTGATGGGAAAGAAGGTGCAAATCACATCATAACACTCACCAAACGTCTATGCCAAAGGAAGGAAAAACTGGGATACGATGACCTTAGAAAAGCCTGCTTACTGGGAAACTACATCCAGGCAGAAAAACGGAGATACAAAACAACACATCTTGACTCTCGGAGAACTGATAAAAAAGCAAGTACAGTATTACTGGTTATCTACTGCCGGAGATAGGAGGACACCTCCAAGGGAGGCGGAATCGGACGGGTGAAGCCAGTAGTAGTAACTCCGAACTTTGGGGGAGATAGGAACAGGAGGACATATTTTGCGAAGTCTCTTAAAGGCCTGACTTGCATTAATTCTTGAAAGAGAATAACAACCGCGAAAAGGGGGAGAAAGAGAGCGAAAGAGAGAGGGAGAGAGAGAGAGAGAGAGAGAGAGAGAGAGAGAGAGAGAGAGAGAGAGAG